TGGTGCAGACTGGTGCTGTTTGGGCGAGCGGGTGGTGCGGGGGTGGTGCAGACTGGTGCTGTTTGGGTGGGCGGGTGGTGCGGGGGTGGTGCAGACTGGTGCAGTATAGGCGGGGGGGTGGTGAAGCGGGGGGGACCCAGAACCGGCCTTTCTATACTACTAAAATCATTTAACTTCCGTTTCATTAGTAATTGTTGTTTCGAAAATATTTTAAGTTTTATTAAAAACAAAAATTATAATGAAATTAAACTTTCAATAAACGAACTACGTAAATTAATACAAGAGGAATTATATGATTCGAATAATAATAATAATAATAATAATAATAATAATAATAATATGCAGCTAGAATGATTATTTTTTAAACTTTGAAAATTTAAATCGAATATAATACTTACGAAGTATTATATATTTATATATTATAGTACCTATACAAACTATAGGTAAACGTTGACGTTGTTTTTTATGTTAACATTGTTTTTTAACATCTTCGATTATTTTTATTTTATTAGCAATTTTTATCTCACAATTAATATTTACACATTCATATTCTTCATCTGTATCATCGTTTTGAGGAGTTAGACCATATGTATATTTTATAAAATGACAACTCGAAATTATATCAATTGATAACCATAATTTATCTTTATTATCTATGTAATTATAGAAAAAAAAACCAAGTGTGTCCTTAAAATCATCATTAAAATTTTTAATAAATTGGGATATTGTAATTTCAGACTTTATCGTACCAAAACATTCCCATTGATCCCAAGTTGGAATATAATCACCACGAACTTGAGAATACAAAATAGGAAATTTCCAGTTTTTTCGAAAATCAATAAATTCAGATATTGCACCTTGATCCCAATCATGACTGCAATAATACATTGCTCGTATCGGTATTATTTCTTCCATTTCTTCCAATGTAAAAGTATTTTCTTGATTATTGTACTTTATTTGTAATATTTTATTAAATTTATTGAATATTACACATGATTTGCGAAACGATTCCACTTTATTTTGCTCATGTTTGTAAATTTTATGCTTGACTTCATATGGACCAAATTCGTTTTTTACATTATTAGCATCTATCGTTTTTTTATAGTTTTTGGCAAAGATAATTCATTAATTTGATTTTTATTTTCCATTACTATAATTTATTATAAAAAAATAAAATTTTTTAAACATCGAAAATTTAAATCGAATATAATACTTACGAAGTATTATATATAATATTATAGTACCTATACAGTGTGGTATAATAATAATAATAATAATAATAATAATAATGATAATAATAATAATAATAATAATAATAATAATATATATATATGGTATCAACGTTGTACTGATTATTTTTTTAACATCCGGTATTGAATACCTTATCATAATATATATGTATAGTTTATATTATGATGTTTTTTTATCGAATTATTTAAATAGTGTTTAAATAATCATTATACATGCCCAAGTGTTGTAGCTCAGTGGTTAAGGCGTTTGATTTAAATGTGTTCTTGGTCGGATTGAAACTAGTGGGGGAATGTGTAGCGCTGCATATTCACCTACTAATTTCGTCAGGCTTTGAAGACGTTTACGGTAGATTGTATAGGTGGGTGCACTGCACACACCTATGCAATCTACTGGAAAACTGTCGTTGACCTGCTGAATAAAGCACTTGGGTAACTTCACTGCCCACGATAGCTTTGCAGATATCTGTAAAAGAGTTCCGGCCTCCTTTTTTCCTAACGGGTATCTGCAAAGCTGGGAATGATTTTGTAGATTTTTTGCATTTTTTTCCATATTTCTATTAAAAATATTAAAAAATAACGCGATCGTATATGTCCTATATTTTATTTAATATTTGATATTATCAAGTCGGATCAACACAGATATGTTTTATATACTTATCTACACTACATATTAAAAGTTTACCCCCCGCTTCATATTTTTCATTTAAGTATAACTCCGTTGCTTTTTATGTTAGAATCTTCATTTTTACACTTAACATTTTTGATTTTAATTCTTTATAAGTCCCCCTCATAGTATCATAGTGTAAAATCGTTTTTAAAGATTTTTGGATTTTAATAACGCGACATCATACGAAGACAACATATTTTAATATTTCCTAAATCTTGAACAACAAAAATATCATGGAGATATTCGGCAATAATACCAGTTGTATTTATTAAATCATTAGCTATTTTACAAATTTCAAGCCATGTTGGCGATTCTAGTACTTTAGAAGCATAAGGTTTTCCTAGTTTTCGTTTTCCATTTATAGAAATATTGTTTTCAACAATTAAAATTTTTCCTTCAATTGGAATTTTATGTAGATTATATTTAATTATATTTTCATAGTATTCAAAAGCACAAAATTTCACATAACATTTTTTTTTTTTTATACTTTTTTTTATTTCATTTTGCATTTCTTTTTCTTGTACCTCATTAAAATTATTTATAGTTTCCATTCTTTTATTATAAATTTCAATTCCTTTAACTCAGGTATTCAATTTCTTTTTATACATTTTTTGCATTTCAATTTTTATTTTTAATAGAACAATTCTATTAAAAAATAATTTTAATTATTATTACATTTCGATTTTAATTATTAATATCATAAGTATTATGAAAAATATTTTGGGTGTATTTAATAAGTTTTGCGAAAAATGTTTTTATTATTATTGCATTTCGATTTTTATTTTTAATAATTAAGTTTTGCGGAAAATATTTTTATTATTATTGCATTTCATAAGTTTTGCGAAAAATTTTTTTAATTATTATTGCATTTCAATTTTCTGATCTTTTTGCACATTGTTTTCTTTGTGATCTTTTACTGATATATTATTATTAAAGGTGCTGCGCCAGGACTGGTATATATATACTACTTGCGACTCTGCAGTGCCCAACTTCTTACTTATGAAATATACTATTTGTAGTGGTGACCCTTTTTCTTTGCCTTGCAGTAGCATTGCCCCGAGCCCCACGGAACTTGCATCTGTATGGACCTCGGTGACCTCTGCTTTTGGGTCAAACATACAAAATACGGGTTTATCGGCAAACACTCTCTTCATTTCATTGAATGCACTTTCTTGCATAGTTGACCACTCGAACACTACGTCCTTTTTTGTCAGCCTCGATAGAGGTTCCGCCGGGGTAGCATAATTCTGAACAAAACGTCTGAAAAATCCAGTGAGGCCCAGAAATCTGCGCACACCGTGGACATCTTTTGGGACCTGGAACTTTTCAATGGCTTCACTCTTTATTGTACCTGGACTGATCTGACCTCCACCTATGACAAATCCCAAAAACTCAATTCTCTTTGCCCCAAATGAACACTTAGATGGCTTTAGTGTAAGATTTGCGATTCTCAATTTGTCTAGGACCATTCTTACTTTCACCAGCATATCCGACCAGTTTTCAGCATCTACCACCCAGTCGTCCAAATAGTTTTTGACTACTCTGTCCTTGAGACTGCCCAGCACCTTCCTCATCAGCCGTGTGAACTCTCCGGGGGCTCCCGCCAACCCGAAAGGCATTCTTGTAAATTGGCCAGTGTCATCAGGCGTGATGAAGGCCGTCTTTTCTTGAACAGCTTCAGACAGGGGCACTTGCAGATAACCGCTCGCTAGGTCCAACTGCGTAAAATAACGTCCCGCCCTCAGTGACTCAACTTGTTCCTGCAGATCAGGTAATGGAAAATTGTGTCTTATTATCTGCTTGTTTAGCTTCCTGTAATCCACACATAATCTGTTTTTATCGCCTTGTTTCACCAAGATCACTGGACTAGCATAAGGCGAGTCAGTCTCCACCACTACACCATGTCGTTTCCATTCCCCGATTATTTCAGCTATAGCTTCTCGATCGGCAGCTGTGGTTTTGTATGGTCGGCTAGTCACGGGTGCACTCCGTTCAGTCTCGTTAATATCCATCGTCATCATTGTCGTGCATCCCAACTCCTCAATACCCAGAGCAAAACAATCGCGATACTCGTTTATCAACGACAGCAGCTCTGTCTGCTCTTCAATGGATACATCGGCGTTAACATACTTGAAATCCTCCGTCCTTAGATCTCTACGTCTATGACCTGGCAGTGATAGCACTTGTAGTATGTCCATTTCATTATCCGTGGTTACGACCGATACATCTCCCAGTCCTATATCGTCCTTTGATTTGCACAGAACGAGCTTTCCCTCTTCCTTCTTGTAAGTAACCTCATCTAGGTCTAACCAGTTGCGACCAATAAATATGTCGTACCGCTGTACGTTATCAGGTACTACCAATACCTTGACCGGATAAGCCTCGACATTATCTACCGTAATCTTGGTGTTCACCTTCCCGACAGCTTTCACTGACGGCACTGAGACACTGCCTAGTCCGTATAACGATTTCTTGGTTCTCCTTACCTCTAACTCACATCGGGATGCCATACCGAATCTCATCAAGGTATAATAGCTTCCAGTGTCCAGTAGTACTGTAATTTCGATGCCGTTAACCTTTCCACGCTTGAGGTAGGGGTTTGTTGTTTCTTTCATCATCATCACATTATTGACAGTTGGTCGTGACGTGCAGTCACGCGCGAAATGTCCTTCAGCTAAACAAGCAAAGCACTTACTCTTTTTTTTCCACCTACAGTCTCTTGCCCAATGACCAACTTTTCGGCAGACATAACACTTGCTTTTGTCCGTTTCCGCCATTTCGTCTGTATCAGTACTAGATTTGTCATTCACTTCAGGTTTTGGTGTCTTCGTGACCCACTTTCCCGTCGAACCAGAAGCGTGACTTCCAGACTCTGAGCCACCTTTTGCGCTCACCTTTGCAGTTGGACGGCTCTTTTGCTCCTTTTCGTGCTTGGTCTCCGTACGTTTTGCGTTCATACGAGTCCAATCCAACAGATCACTCATCAGCCCTTCTTCATCAACGTGATTCTTACCCAGCACGTACATGGCTAATTCTTTGTGGTAGATCCCTTGAATGATGTAATGTGTTTCGTCGAACGATAATCACAGCCCACGGCATAACCGTGCCTTCTCTTGGAAATAAACCATGATGTGTTCATCGGAAATTTGACGTCTTTTCTGCATGGCTTCCCACTTATCAGCTGTTCGTAGTTGTCGAAAAAATACAATTCGAAATTTTTGTACAAAGTCGTCCCAATCCTTAAAATCGCGTCCGATGAACCAGCTGCGCGCGGCTTCCGTAATATACGATCGTACAAATTGCATGCGAAATGCCAAAGGCCAACAATTCAAATTCGCCATACCTTCAACCGTCTGTATCCAGTCATCTGCTTCGTGCACTGGCTCACAACCATCGAAAACCTTGATTGATTTATTCAAATCCGGCAGCACTCTATATTCGCTAACATCCGAACGCGGCGTGTTGACGACCGCGGTCGTTGGCGGACCTTGGCTCCCATCGCGTCCCGAAACAACTTCTGATTCTAACTGTTTAATCTTCTTTTGTAATTCGGCGACCGTTTTATACAGCTCGACGTAAGTTGGGGCTTGTAAATCACCGCTCGTCGCCATCTTATAATAACCACCTCCGTTAACGTGGTCGTGAAAATAATAACAAACGTTATCACCGTCACCAATCAACAACCCGTTATCAGTGTTATCACGTGAACACTAACAACCGTTACCGCAGTAATTAAAGCGGTGCTCGACGATTTTCACGGCACGTCACCTTGTTCCAAACGACACTGGTTCCACTAACCTTACTTTTCCGGCAACCCACGTTTTGTTCCAATTGTGTAAACCACAACCGTTTTACTTCTCGTTTCGACTTTCTGCAATTCCCTCGCGTTACTCTCTTCACACCCTTCCGCTGGTGAGTAATCGCGACCACGAAACGCAGATTCCGAAAACCACGAGTCTTCACCCGTTACCACCACGCCTTCGCTCACGATCCGCTTTGTGAACTGGGGCCGATACTTGTTTGTATCCCACTTCTGATTCTTGTTAACTATCTTTCTTCGTATAATAAATAAAACACCTGTTAATCTTAGGAAAAGACTGTTACCACTTTCTTACACAATTCAATTACTTATTACACAAAAAAAAACACACAACTTTGGTTACGGCTTTCAGGACGACACATTCCATTCCAGGTCTCCAACCGAACTGATTACAGTGTACAATTTCAAGATACACCCTGGTGTCTACTGCACCCATATCTCTGGTGGGGCTTATCTTACATACATTGTACAACCATTGAATATAATATATATTGATACAACGCTGCAATGTCTGTGTTAACACAACTAATATTACATTGGAACCTTTAGGATAGCTAGTACCATCGGCCTGCAAAACTTTACCAGAAATTTCAAATGTTGCTTTTTTAACATTTAAAAAACTATCTTCTTCTTGTATTCTAAAAGTAGTAGTTTTATTAGGTTCATTAAGATTTGTGGTTGTTATAGGTTCAAATATAATTTCCTGTTCACGGATAATAGCATGGTCATATTGTGCAAATATATTTTCCATTTATAAGGAAAAAATTTAATAAAGTTTTATAATTTAAAATTCTTAGTAAAATCTAAACATAAATGTCCGCATATAGGTGGATCAGTATAAGTTTGTAATTTTTCAGTGGTGTAATATAAATCATCTTTTCCTAAATAATTTACAACTTCTTCAGGCGGAGGGGAATCTCCAAAAGAGTCAAAATATACTTTTTTATTATCATTTTTTAACCAGGCCACCCAATGTGAACCAGGTTGATTAGAATTATTTAAATTTAATATTCCACATTCATTTTTCCAAGGTTTTGTTGGTAACTCATCTTTCATAAAACAACCTCTAAAATTCTTAATATTTTTTCCTGCTTTAATAATATCAAAATTAGTTAATGGTTTTATTTCTTTTTTTGTTCTTTATTTTGTTTTTTTTAAGACTTGAACCAATCTGTAAAGTCTTAATATTTCTAACATTTTCTTCCATCATTTTATTATGTCTTTCTGTCTCATCTCGTTTTAGTTTCTTATCTTTTGCATCAATAACAGTAGTTGCAATAGCACTGGCACCTCCTGCTAATGCACTAAGAGCACCTATACCTGCTATGATAAGAGGTAAAAAACCACCTACTTTATCTTTATCTCCAAATTGAGATTTTGTAATTTTTAATCTCACCCCTTTTTTTTATCTTTCTTAGCTTTAGATAACTTATTATTTTGTCTATCAGTAAAATTAAATTTGTTTTTTCCATTACCAATCTGTGTATGCTTTAATTGAATAACTAAATCAATTTTGTTTTTATAAGCTTTTACAAGCTTTTTTATTTGAAAATCACTCAAATCCAAATTCATTTAATATAAATAAAAAGTTATTAAATCAAATTAAACTCATACCAAAATACCTTTTTGCTTTCATTGCATTTGTGGTGATATAAGCAGCTGCTTTTTCACCTATAGATGCATCTGGGGCTAAAAGCCTACCCCATTCTTTATCTTCCAAAATTTTATCTCCAATATGTCTTGTTTTAATATCTTTATGTTTTTTATAAAAATAATCATGTTCCATTGCTGCCATATCTAGTTTATTTACTGGCTTCTTATTTTTTTCTAAATCAGTAAAAGGTCCAAGATAATTTATTATAACCAGGCCAATGTATTTCAGGCATAAATTTACTGTTTAAAAGATTATTCATAAGACCTGATCCTTCTACAAATTTTTCAGGCAAACTTGTTACATAAGATATTAAATACTCAATTCCTCGTGGAGTACTAGCTAATCTTTCCAACTCAGAACTAAAAAAATGTACAATACCAATCTTTTCATTATGAAAATTATTATTTCCTGCTTTTTCTTCACTAGCAATAAAATATAATCTCTTTAATAATTCACTTAAATTATGTATATATTTATACTCAATAGGATTTTCTGTGTATTTTTTTAAACCTTCTCCTTCTTTTTCTTCTTCCTGTGAAGCAGTCTCTATCTGATCTTTTTCAGCTTCCTTGGGCGGTATATAAGGTTTTATATCATTCCACCAAATATCAGCAATCATTTTATTATATTTTTCCCCTTTATTTGATTTAACACTTCTTGATTTACTATTATTACCTTGAAATAATGAATCCGTACTAATTAATATTTCTTTATAATTATCAAAATCTTCTTGTTCATACCATCTTGGTGGAACAATTAAATTATGAGTTAATAATCTAAATAATCCTTCTGTTCCTTTATATGTTTTTCCATTTATAATTAAATTATCTTCTTTAAAAGTGATTACTTCTTTTCCTATCATATAATTATTAGTTTCAGCGTTATGATATATACCATAAGAACTATCTTTAATGCGAGGTAAATACTTGCTTGTTAGTGGACCTAAAACTATCGTATTTTTTCCGGGGGTTGTTGTTTTTGGGGACATATTTTTCCTAATTGGTGATCTTATTTCTAAAGGTGATTTACTGCCTAAAGTTGGTTTAATTGGAGTATTTGCACCATCTGTTAACCTTAATATATCAGGGCGCCTTAAAGGTACTAGCACATTTCGAATATCTTCATCAGTTTTAATATTTATTTCTTTAACTTCATTAACTGCATTTACAATATTTTTTAATTTATTTGTTACAGGTCCAAATGATTTCTCTTTTTCTTCTTCAATATATATGTTTCTTAAAGCTGCATTTTTAAGCCCCTTCTTCAGGTTATTTTCAAGTTTAATTATTTCATCTGCTTCTTTAACAGACGTTACCTATATCTTCTCCTTTTTTTCATTACAAAGCCTCCTTTTTTTCTATTTTTCATTACTTTTCCCCTTTCTTTTAAAAAAATATTCCTCATATCTTTTATATCCATTTAATAATAAAAAATTTAATAAACGTTAAAATATATGTTTGATAACCATTATTTAAATAGACGTTCTGCGTTGACGTTATACGTTTACGTTCTGCGTTGACGTTATGCGTTGATGTTATACGTTGACGTTACACGTTTACGTTCTGCGTTGACGTTATACGTTGACGTTATGCGTTGAAGTTTGCGTTAATGTTTAAAGTCTAAATTCATATCTTTTTAAATCTATTACAAATGTGTATACCTGGTAAATCAATTGAAATAAACCCAAACTTATTTTTCCAGCAAGTTGAACATAAAGATTTAAATTTATCAAAAACTATATCATTACTCAAAAAATCTTTCCATATTCTCCCAATATAAAAATCTGACTGCTTAAATATAAATAAAAAATTACAATTTGTTCTGATTGCTTTTAAATCTAATAAACTATAATTCTGACTTATATAAATACATGAAATATTTTTAGATCTGGATCTTACAAAATATTCTTTTATTCTATCTTGTTTATCTAAAATATAATCATCAAAAACGACTAAGCTATCTGGTTTACAGTCATCAACAGATATTATCTCTTCATTGGTTATATATACCTCTACATTATTCAAATTTGCAAATACTTCTTTTATACTTTCATAAATTGGTTGCTCTACTGGGTGATTCTTTTATCAAACAACACTCATTATTTCAAAAGTGTAAATTTTTTTGAAGATATTTTTTTACATAGTTTCAAGTCGCTTATAAAACAACGTTTTTATTAAAAAATTATATTTTTAAATATAAAAATATAAAAAATTATATTTTTAAATATAATTTTTTAATAAAAACGTTGTTTTATAAGCGACTTGAAACTATGTATAAAAATATCTTAATAAAAATTTACACTTTTTGAAATAATGAATGTTGTTTGATAAAAGAATCACCCAGTATATTTTTTGTAAAAATATAAAGATTTTCATAAGGAATCCAATACTTAATAATAATATTTCATAATAAGTTAGTTTTCCCTGATCCAGATGAACCTATAATTAAACATCTCATAGGTATTGGAAGTATTGATTTTGATATATTATTATCTAAATGAAACAATGTAATTTCATATTTTTTATCCATTTAATATAGAAAATTAATATAAGCTTAAAAATTAAAATTCCTATTAAATTTTTCTCTTATTAAATATATATATATAAATATAAAAATGTCTGAATTAAAAATGTCTGATTCAGTAGACTTAAAAGTGCGATTAAATGAATATGGATACAAGTATAAATTTATTAAATTATCAGAGCTGGTATCTGACAAAAGATATGAAGTTACTGCTTTTGAACTTGTTATTATTAATGGGTGGGATAAAGTATCTGTTGTATTGGATAATAAATATAAGCTCATTTTACCAGATAGATTTTTTAAGACTATTTCTGAAAATATATATGAAATGAATGATAAAGAGTGGTCTAAACTTTACCTTTATTACAGGTATAAAAAAATACTTGATAATGGAGATTCATACCATCGTATAGAGTTTGAAGGTAATTCTTTTGACACTACTGTAATAAAAGTATTAAAGAAATTAAATGAAGAATATTACAAATATACAAAATTATCTGATTTAAATATCAATGAACTTTATAAAATAACAACAATTAGAAAAGTAAATACAAAATATGGTGAAAGAGTTTCTGTTGTTTAAACAATAAGGATATGCTATTATTGCCCCAGAGGTTTGTTAATATTATTTCTGAGTTAGATATAGACAGATATGATGGCGAAATGTATATGAAATATAAGGGTAAAAAAACTCTTGATAATAGGAAAACAATCCATTTGATAGAATTTGAATAACTTAACATTATTTTTTGTTATTAAATGAAATTAATCAAAATCATAAATGGCTCTATACATTTAGAACATTATATACATAATGTATACCAAAGTATGTCTATTGGATTATATGCTTTGTCATTTACCAATTCTGGTGATTTAATCAAAATAGAAAATGATTGTCAGATAACAATTAACACTAACGTAATTGATATTAAAAGTGGGCTTTATACTATTGAAAAGTTAATCCTATACTATAAAATGACAAGGAAATCAGCTGTCTATAGTGTACCAATGGAAAGGAAAACGCAGGCTATAGTGAAACCTTGGCGTAAAAAATGAAACACCACTCCGTTTCCCCAGCCCGCCGGCCATGTCCCGTCGATTCCTTATAGCGCGACCAATCGCGTACCTTCGCAGCGGCGGCAGTCGGTTTTAAAACGGTTTTCGTTATCACCTCTTTTCCTATCATTTCGCCGATTTTTGAAATTTTCGGAAAATTAGCTGTTTTTACACGATTTCGACCCTTTCCGTCCTTTTTTATACTTAATTCGAAGCCGCCGGTGTGCGGTTTATATTCGTGCGCCGTTCGAAGCGGTCGCAATGTCGATCGAAAAATACACTCCCGACCGGACTTTTTTGCCGATTTTTTCCTTTTCTCCCACCGTTTCGTCTATTCGCACGCCGTTTGTGCCCGAATCGTGTAATCGACGTCTTTTTAAAGCTGTTTATATGGGCTTTTCCCCCGAAATCGGTTCGTTCGCCTCGCAATCGCGTTTAGAAATTACGCCGGCGACCGACGTACCGTACGCGTATATATACATATATATAAGTGTATAATTTAATTTTTCCCTATGATGTAATAATTATTAACGGAAAACGATTTTCACACCCCCCGTTAAATATATATATGGGAGATGCGCTTATTACAAGCGAATTATATGCGATTACATCGATGTACATCGAATATATCGGTTTACGTCGCTCCGTAGACGCAGTACGCACGGCTTAAGTGTTGATGTTTTGATCGTTTTCCACATCTCAAATTGTGTCCAGGTAGGTTAGGCGTTAGGTAGGAAACACGTAGGTCCCGTGTTCAAATCCGTCGTACGCTGCCCGAGCGTCGAATCCGGCATTGCCATAAGGTCTACATGGCCGCCCGAAACCAGACTTTTTTTGCATTTTTTTTTCACGTTATTTTTCATATAAATTAAATAATAATATAATAATACAGGAATATATCGTACATTATTATTATTTAAAGTCATTGTCATATTATTATATCACACAATAAATAGGTAGGTACATATTATATTTGTTTTGTTAGGAATTATTATAATTGCATATTTTTTCAAAAAGTCCATGATTGTTATATAAATATAGTTTGTATTTTATTTCGGATTGCCTACCTAGGTGGCTAAATTGAAAGTTAATCGATTTTGACTTGAGATGACTGACTTGCTAGACACTCCAACACGGTTGTCGACTTTACACTTTTTACATAAGAAATGGCACCGGACATGCGAAGCCACATACCACTCTATGTGATATACCTACTATATATAGGTGATAGACGGATTGCTCATTTTAGTTTCGTCTTAAACGATGATGATTGACTTGACAGACACTTTAACAGTTTAACATGCAGGTTTTTGCATTTTTTTTTTTAAATTAATATATATACATTATAGGTAGTGTTTATATGTATTGTATTGGTTAATATATAGGTAATAGTATGTATCTAACTATCTACCTATATGTTAATTTTTTTTAGGAATTATAATTGCACATTTCTCAAAGTGTTCATTGTTATATTATATCACACAATAAATACATATCATATTTGTTTGTATGTATATTGTATATAGTTTGAATTTTTCGTAAATTATTTCGTAAGTTGTGTGATAGGGTTTTCACTTATAGCCGCTTGACGTCGGGTCTGCAATCCACCGCAGGTGGATTGCCTACCTGATTTTTTGTAGCACGTTGTCCGCGATCCGAGGAAGTCGGATTGCCTACCTAAGTGGCTAACTTGAAAGTTAATAGATTTTGTCTTGAGATGACTGACTTGCTAGAAACTCCAACACGGTTTTCGACTTTACACTTTTTACATAAGATAAAGCACCGGTCATGCTACGGCACATACCACTCTATGTGCAGGTATACTATCTATATCGGTGATCTTGGAGATCGTATCCAGCCTATCCATTTACAACGTTTGTGACGGATTGCTAGACCCTCAAACTTTTAACATTCCCGCCCAAGCGTCTAGCCTTATCTCCAATCCATATCACTAATCCTTATCACAAATCCTAAATTTTCGTCTTACAACCTTTGCGACTTTTATAATTCATTGTCTCCAAAATCGGTACCTACTCCCAGCGAGTCCGACGGGCCCCGAGTTACACTTAGAGCTAGTAAATTAATAAAACCATTAATTATCTCTTTTGTTGATAAAAAAATTAAAATAGAATCTCCATTTTACTATAGTTTGGATGAAAAATTAAAAATATATTTAGGTTTTAATGGTATTATATATTTTTCAATGACAAGCGGCAAAAAAATTTACTATCCCACTAGTGATGAATATTACATAAATATTGAACAGGAATGTGAGTTTAAAGTAGAAAAAGATTCACATAATATACCTATTGGTGTATATTATATTAATGAAATTCAAAATTTATTAAATCCCGACAAGAACGTTGTTAATACTAAAATTACAGTGGTTAATAAATATTTAGTGATTTCAACTAACTATGAGTATGTTTTTGACTCTTATTTAACTAATTGTTTAGGAATTCCATTGTTTAATTCTTCTTCAAGTTATAAAACTGAACAATCATTTAAACGAACTGTAAATGGTACACTAATGCCAAAATTTTACACTCAAGGTTTCCTAAAAGAAATAAATGGTGTTATCGAAACAGAAAATAGCAAAACTATAATAGGAAAGAAAAATTATACTATTGATCAATTAAATAAAATACTACCATCAAATATAAAAATACAACAAACAGATAAACAAATTACAATAATATCTAGTGTTTATTATTTATTGGATGAAAATTTAACATCAAGCCTAGGATTAGGTAAAAAATATATTCATACACATATTGGTTTAGATGTTATATTCAGTAATTATTTTGAAAATAAGTTTATCGAAGTACATTGTAATATAACTGAAAATTCCATTTCTAACCATAAAACTGAGAAATATTTGCATATAGACGATGATATTTTATGTGTTGTTAAATGTGATAAGGGTGGCCAATATATAGCTAATGACATTAAATATATTCCTCTAAATGTAATAGATTTTAAACATATTAAATTATTTATCACCGATCAAGATGGTATTGAAATAATATGTAATGACTTTGTTACATATTTAATTCTAAAAACATAGATCTAGATAGTTCTATAACACAATGTTTTAACGTTCACCCCATACGGGTGAGCCGTGAGCGTCAGATACTTTGTAAAATAAATTCTATATTTAACGCGTGCGTAAATATCGCACACGTCATTTAATTATATTGTGTTCTTAAATAGACATACCTTTTTTCATTCAATTATCAATACGCTCATAGCAGAATAAATTATATGGTCTATCTAACATGTTTAATAAAGATATTAAAATATAAGTACTTTTGGGCGTATTTATTATATTTTTATATTTTTTAATTAACAAATTAAGAATTTTTTTCTTTTGCTTAACTATATTATCAATATTTTCAATACCTTTATTATTAATAATAATTCTTTCTTTTTTGGCCAAAGATTCCAATTGTTTATAAAGTTTACCCATTATTTAAATATAAATTTATATATTGATATTATTATTATATATTTATTATATTTAGATGTATAAAATCTATATTTAACGCGTCCCCCAAAAAGGGACACGTTTTTAATTCTAAAATTTTGTTTTATAGCTATTATAAATAATCATATTTAAATGAATACGTATTTAGAGAAAAATATGTTAGTTTATAGAAAAAGTTACAATTATTATTCAAAAGTCAGATTTTGTTTACTAGCTTTAAAACTGTTTCTAAGTACAATTGTCCCAATTGGTTATTTTGTATTACCTTTATTAACAATGTTTTCGTTATTAAACGGAATTATAGAAATTTTTGAAAAATCTTATAAGCTTAATGAGAGAATTATAGAATACAGAATTTGTTATAAATTTTATAATCAATTGATATTGCTGTATAAATCTAATAAAATAATCGAGGATGGTATATGTTTAAAAGAAGCAGATTTTAAAGAAACTATTAACTTTTTCCCTAGAGAAAAATATTTAAAACAGACACAACTTAACGGTTACAAGTATACAGCATAATTAAACATTATATTAATTTAATTTCTTATAAATGGGAAATATATATTGTATTAAATGTAAACAAAAAACAGTTAATATTAATCCACATATAATTATGACTAAAAATAATTTGAAAAGAATGTCTGCAAAATGTAAAAAATGTAATTCTTTAAAAAGTTGTTTTATTAAAACATAGTATTAATTCTATAAAATTATGCACTTTTTATATAATGTCGGTTAAAAATATCTTTTTTCTACCGTTTACTAACAAATACCTGTGGCCTATTGGGTTAATGCGGCAGTATGTGCCCTGCCGATAGCGAGTTCGAATCTAGTTAAATTTTTTTGCACATTTTTAACAAAATAATATACTATCATAACATACCATATTGTATTCTTAAATATACAAGTTTTCATGGTTCTTTCATCGAATAATCGTGTCCTAATGGTCTAATGCGAAATCGTGTAACCTGGCGGTAGCGAGTTCGAACCTCTTAATTTTTTGTATTTTTTTACAATTCTATATTTAAATAGAATTA